AGGAAGCTTGGCGTCATAAACGAAATGCAGCATCCCTCCTGTCACAGAAATGCAAATCCAGAAAACTAACCACCCAAGACAGAGCCTCATATTTACACACCACTAAATGAAGAGGAATGAAGGTGGGATTAGCTGTGCTTTGCTTCTCAAGGATGAACACGTATATTTATAACTCTGGCAATAGCCATGCCAGTGGGAGCCATTTAGTGTAACAATGATGACAGAATAAAAGGCTGCTAGGGTTGCCATAGTGCAATAATCAGCTTTACCAAGCTGCATATATACACATAGACTACCAGCACACTATGGGGTGGAATGGAGCTAGAGAGGATATTTCACACCTTAACAACAACAAAGGATGTAATTATTTTTAGACTTAACTGAGCAGAGAACATGAATTATAAAATGTGTTAGCTCTCTTCAGATGCACAAGCATACAGACACTAAATCAAAAGAATAAAATCAAAATCAAAAACAAGATTAAAACAGTCTGAAATCACATCTTCATCCACAATTTCATATACAGTATACTGTATATACTAAACATTCAGTAATTTATTCTACAGTGAGGAGTAAACTGCAATCTCAGATGTATTTGGACTGCATTAACTAATATTAAATGACTCTTCGCATTGTTAAGTTGTTAGCAGTAAGCGGCGTACTTTTCTTGCTGTATAGTAAGAAGGGAGGGATTTGAGACACAGAGTACAACCTCAGAATGGTGCTTTCAACAAAATGCTAACATCAGCATGTTGCTCACACGGTCACAGTGACGATTTTAACATACTGTTCCACAAAAAGCTCCTTGTTCATTACTTTACTCAATACTTTATAATGTTTCCTATGGAAACACTAGGAAGTATTTGTGAACCCAAATGCAGAACACTAACAAGGCAGGCAGGCTTTTTCAAAGCTAAAAGAAAAGCAGATGCTTGCAGAGAGTCCAGGCTGACAGAACTGAGCAGGGAGAATCAGAGACAAACAAGTCCAAACGGGGCTCAGAGACATGCGATCAGCCCTGGCAGAGAAATAAATCTAATACGTTATGCCAAAATAGTCCAGAAGCAGGTAAGGGTCAAAATCCAACTTCTAGGGAAACACAAAACACTAAAAAACTGAGGCAAACTGAGCCAATTAAATACAAGCTGGATGCTTACACGGACAGAGAACAGATGAGTATAGGTGGGAGGGGGCAGAGCAGGCAGCAAGAGCAAGAAAACAGGACAAAGGCCAGGGGTTAGGTTTGATAGACAAGGATACCACAGGGCAGAGATGGGGCCATGCCAGGAAATGTGACAAATATTGTTTTCAACACCCATTCAGTTTTACAGAATTGATGCTTATCTTTTTCTGAATAATCAAACCTTGTAAACGTGGTTTTGCTAAAACAATGTTTTTGTTAAAAGGTATTTAATTTCATTTTGTATTTTTCTTAAAACAAGTGCAGCTGTCTCCAAGAACAATGGAATCATTCTACTAAATGCAAACCAGATTGTTCTTCATTCATTCTTTGTTTTGTGGAAAACAAGTGAAACTGTGTTATTACTTCAGCCACAGGTTGTTTACTTGTCTCAGCAAAGAGAAATATGAAGATTGAATGCTAACCACAGGGGAAGCTGGAAGATGGTTTCACGGGGAGAGTATTTATTCTGTATGCAGCATCCTTCAGAGAGTTACAGTGTGAGAGGCACAAAGAAAAAAGAGGCAGGGAGATGAACATGACTTTTCAGCAGTGTGATTATTGATTCTGTTGCTCCTCCCTTTGGCCTTCATGGACAGATTTATATGGAGCACACTCTATATTTCTCCCGCCATCCTCCTGGCTCTATGCTTAATACCACATGTGTTTTATTATGTCTCGGCCACACACTGACTGCTACTCTGACTGCACAGTGTGTTTGAGTGTGTATGTGTTAACATGGACAGTGTTAGCCTCGCCTGTGGCTCAGTATTGTCCAGTCTCTCTGATCTGTGTTTCGCACACCACCTGTAAACCTATACTCCACTTATGCAGTTTATATTTCCATTGTGTTTTCTTCAAATAAAATGCTTTATTTTTTAAGAAAGGTTTTGTCATTTTTAAATTTAATAGTAAGTTTATCATTAAGGGTCCTGTGGAGAAATATTTTATATAACTACTGTTCTTTGTTAAGCAGTGTTAATACATTACACTGTAATAAAAAGCATTTTGAAAGGGTACCATATAAATAATGTGAAGCGCTGACAAACACGGGAATAACTGAGGAGTAAAAATATATCAAGTGAAAAACACAGTTCAGTCCACACAGTGGCTGCAGAGACACTGGTCACTGTGCAGTTGTTTCCAGTGCATAAGTAAGTAAATAAGAAAGGAAAAATCAATAAATCCATCCTCATCCTGTTAACGTGATACTGTACAGTGGTATTCTAGCCAATAAACGTCAGTGGTCTGTGTAGCATTACAGACATATGAGAACAGTGGCTACATCACTCTACTGTCTCTTGAATTACTTCTGCAATTTTAGTATGGGTAATTTTGTATCATTATTATTATTTAACCAAAGATTACTAATGTTCCAAATATTCTATTGTTACATATCATACTTGCTAAACATGGCCTACTGTTCTCTGGGAATGCTAACATGTATCTCCTCACATAAAATGCTTCACTGGGCTCTGCAGGTTCCTGTAAAGGCAAACATAAAACAAAGAGTGTGTTTATGGTTTGGAGAGTTTATGTGTCAATACTAATCCAAAATAATATTACAGCAATATGTTAGCTAAATAGGAGCATTTACCTGAGGGAAACATCAGGGACAGCTGTATTCCTCAAGGACAGTGCTGGTTATTTCTTCCTTATTTCGGCCCAGGCTGTTGGGCCTTCTAATTTCTTGCATAATTTTAGGCAATTTTTATGGGAAAAAATATTCAATAACTTCACTCTTACAGTGCAGAGTCACTACAGCCACGTCACATGTCAAGGGTCTCTTGTTGGCTTTTATGAGCCACTACCTCACATCACTGTTTATGCTCATTTGGTTGCCTGACCAGCAGAGATGGGACCAGTCATAATAAAAACCTTGAGAACTGTAGACAACCTACTTGTCAACAGCTGCCCCAAAAAGTACAGCATCAGAGTTCTGAGATCACTTCCCAGAGATCTCAGCAGGACATGACTGCAGGGACTGACAGTTTACCAGCAGCAGAGACACCCCACACAGAATCCATCGAAGCTCAGAGGCACAAAAACCAAACCAATACTAAGAAATGTAAATGAAAAGAAAGGCAACACTGCTATGTTGAAACTGTGATTTGTAATGCAAAGCCCTTTTCTTTACATTTCAGATTGTGTTATTCCTTTGTCAGACTTTTGGGTTCCAGTTATTGTTGTATGGTTTGTAATTCCATTTTTCTATGCATTTTTATTAATGTACACACTAAACCCTATTGTTTTTAGCTACATTTCCATTATTTGAATGTGGTTTTTGGTTATTACGGCATGTGCACTCTTATACAAATACACAACACTGCTTGTACAGCACTTGTGAATCATTCTTATGTTACTAAATATTATTCTATTCATGCTATTTTTATAAAACATACAATTAAAGTTAATAGTGTGTTGTCAGATTATGCCCTGATTGTGTACATGCTGAGACTCACAAGCCTTTTCCTCTCCTCTCCGTCACTGCTCTCTGTTGCTATGGCTACTACAGGCGGTTGCCAAGCGAAGAGGATGGCTCAGTGTCGAGTAACAGCTCTGGGAAGCTGAACACCAGTAAGAGCTCGTCAGCCCGAAGGACAGCGACTGGCAGCAGCAGCAAGAACGGGAAAGAGGAGCAACACAAGAGGAGCACCAATGGTAAGGAAGATGATAAGGGAGTCAGGAAAGGAAGATGGAATGGAGTTAAAAGACACAAAAAGAAAAGATGAGATTGAGATGATTACACTGAGGAGTATTTCAGAGAAGGTAGTAAGAAAACGGCAAATGGATAGAGAGATAGACACAGTACATAAACAGATGATAACAGGAAAGGTTTGTGCCTCACCAAAGGCTTGTCATTACAATAAAAGCATAGATCATCAAAACCTAACATACCGTAATAAAAAGAGTGAAACCACTCATACACACAGTGACTCAGCCTCTTGCTGCATCATGTACTGTCACTGACGACACATGCTGTCATGTGTCTTTATACTCACACACACGCTCATACAGTAAACACACAGCAGCAGATGGTAGTGTTAGCCAGTGTTAGTTTTCAGTTGACTTTCCTTATTCCAGGATGCAAAACTGAAAGTGTTTCCTGGGCATAAAAGCCAACATTTGATAGTATATATTGGATTCATTGCATCATTGCATGTAGTTTTGAGCAGAATTACAAAGGAAAGGCAGCAAAGCGGGTGGAAAGATTTGTGACAGTATACTGTCATGTTTGGTGTTAGTCAAATACATACAACCCACAGCATTTTGTTAGAAAAGTGACTCACTGTCAAAACCTGTGGCAACCAGAATGGTCCTCATCCTGCAGAGATACACTATGTGTCCGTTAAAACATATTAGCACTGCAATTTTAAGTAAAGCGATTACTTATCTCCATTTTTTGGATTAAGCTTATTGTCATCTAGTAAATCCCAACCAGCTAAAACACAAAACACGCTAGGTACATACGATACACAAAAACAAACAAAAGAAATTACAATCAATATGTGTTCCAGCTGGTTGGTAGTTGTTATGTAAGCAAGTCATTAATAATAGATCAAGAGAATTTTTCATTGTCCTTCACTGAAGGTTTAACCTTACAAAGAACATCATATTAGAAAGTGGCACCAGAGCTATATGGTCACTTTGAAACTCTCATCAAAATCCATTAATTTCCTTCAGAACTGAACAAGCAGGAAAACTAGACAATACCTATTCATCCAGATGTTGTGCTCATTGATGAGAACTTCAACTGGCTGGAGGAACGCTGCAGTTGTAGTGTTGTTGTAACTCACCAAACTGTTAGTAAATCGCAGTTCCCTTATTTGATCACTAATCGCTTGAATAGAACAAATTCCATTGCTGCCTGGAAGAGACATGAGAAGAGATACAAAAGAGCATCCTTTGTGGAAGTCGCCTCTTTATCTGTTGGTGAATGGGCACTTTAGGATCAGAGGAAAGGACGTCTTATGTCAATATAATTGTGTTTCCTTGGTTCCTCTCCTCTTGCAGTTGTACGTGAGTGGGACTAAGTGTTATGGTTTAGTCCCCCTCACCAGGAGGGTGAGGGAGAACTGGGGTTGGACTCAAGATGGCTGACCCAGGTGCTAGTACAAAAAAGGTGTTTTAATCAATCCACAGCACAGAGACTGTCAGCGTGGAAGACAAAGCACGTATTTCTGTATTGCTAACCGCATAATAGCGTGATAAGGTCAAGCCAAAACGCACAGAGACTGTCAGCGTAGCATCTTACACATGTCTAAAAATGCGGGTCAAACATAAACTTTTAACTTACATAGGGTAAGTATTGTTCATTACATGTCGCAATGCTCCGGCGATGATGGGGCGTCTGCCAGAGGTATAAATAAGGAAGCCAACAAATCACTGGAATACGCCTCAGGTGTGCGCACCGACCCACGAGTCACTAATTACCCGATGCGACACAGCTGAGGCTTTGATCCCGCAAAAAGGGAGAGCAGGAGAGGAAAAAAGAAAGAGAGGCAGGTCACGCCGAGCGGACCTGACACTAAGATGCAAAGAAGACTAAATAGAGGGAAAGATGGATGCAATTAAGAGATATGGGATTCACCCTATAACTGAACTGTTGGTGATTGAGTTTCATTTTGGGTAATGTAGGCACCAGGCGTTGATAAGGAAGAAGAATACATGAAATAATCAAGACGATATTTCAGTATTTCTGGTTCTGCTGTTTTGATTGGGATGTTTTTTTAAACTTTAAGTGTTATAGGATTGCAATGCTAAATCAGTGGAGTAATCTTAAAAAACATAACCTGACTGACATTTTCAACAAATACTTGATTTCCTGTTGCTTTGAATACTGTCTGTCAACACAGCTCCTTCTGGTGTTGGGTGAAAACATTTTAAAAAGAACAAAGATTTTTTTCAGACCCAGGATTATAGACTGCACAAGTCGCAAGAAAAAGTAATGGCACTCTTTGCAATTTCCTGGTTTTCTAAATAAATTGGTCATGAAATGTGATCTGATCTTCACCAAAGTCACAAACATAAACAAACACAATATTTCTAAGCTCACAAAACAGTCATGATCTTTCATGTCTTTATTGAACATACCCATTAAACATACAAAGTGATGGTGGAAAAAGTAATGGCAACTGTTTCATTAACTGATTGAACCACCTTTGGTAGTAATAACCTTGATCAAGCACTTCCTGTAGCTGTGGATTAGGAATGCACAACATTTAGGAGGAATTTTGGAGCATTCTTCCTCACAGAACATCTGCTCAGCCATATTCTTAGGACATCTGGTGTGAACAGCTCTCTTGAGGTCATTCCACAGCATCTCTATTGGGCTGGGGTCTGGGCTCTGACTGGGCCTCTCCAAAAGGTAGATTTCGTGTCTCTGAAGCCATTCTGTAGTTGATTTACTTTGATGTCCAGGGTCATTTCCTGCTGCATCACCCGGCTTGTTGTGAGCTTCAGCGTGTGGACAGCCACCCTGACATTATCCTGTAGGATACCTGGATAAACTTGGGAATTCATTTTCTCCTCCACAATGGCAAGCAGTCCAGGTCCAGAGGCAGCACAGCAGTCCCAAATCATGATGCTCCCTCCATTGTACTTCACTGCTGAGATGATGTTTTCATGTCAGTACACAGTTCTGTTTATGCCATACGTAGTCCTGTGTGTTCTTCCCAAACAATTCCACCTTTGTTTCATCTGTCCAGATGACATTTTCACAGTAGTGTCACAGTAGTATCAAGGTGGTCTTTAGTAAACTTCAGGTGTGCTGCAGTATTGTCTTTGGTGAGCAGTGGCTTCCTCCATGGTGTCCTGCTACAGGTACCATATCTATTCAATATTTTGCGTATGATTGGTGCATGAACAGAGATGTTAACCAACTCCAGTGAATCCTTCAAGTCTTTAGTTGTTACCCTAGGGTTCTTTTTTACCTTGGTGAGCATTGTGCCTTTCGAGTGATCTTGGCTGGGTGCCACTTCTATGGAGAGTAGCCACAGCACCACATTCTCTCCATTTATAGACAATATGTCTAACTGTGAACTGATGAATATCTCAAGTCTTTAAGATGACTCTGTAACCCTTTCCAGCTGCATGCAAATCAACAATTCTTGATCGCAGACATAGCTCACATCAGTTGATGTTGCTTGTGAATAGCACACCTTCACTGTTTGGGTGTTTTTATAAGTCAAGGTAGTTCTAAACCATACCACCATTCTCAATTCATTGATTGGACTCCAGGTTCGCTAACACCTGACTCCAAATGAACTTTAGTGACCTTTAGAAACCTGGTGTTGCCATACCTTTTTCCACCATCACTTTGTATGTTTAATGGGTGTTTTCAATAAAGACATGAAAGATCATGAATTTGTGTTTTATCGTCTTAGAAATATTGTGATTGTTGATATTTGTGACTTTGGTGAAGATCAGATCACACTTCATGACCACTTTATGCAGAAAACCAGGACATTGCAAAGAGTGCCATTACTTTTTCTTGTGATTTACAGCATTTGTTATCAGTGGTGGCAGTAAAGTACTGTATCTTCAAAATGACTTGTTCACAAAATTACCTTGTAGATCTGAATTATTTGCATAAACAGTAGTTATGTCAGTGATAATGCTGCAGTGTTGCTTCTGTTCAGTGACAGTCTAGGACACTGTGATTTTCAGTGTCTTTTGCAACAGCAAACCAGTGTTCACAGTGATTTGTGTGATTTACAATGTTTGTGTAAGTGAATGAATGAATGCCTACAGGAGAGGAGGAGAGGATCTGTGTAAACTGTTTCATTTGCAACTACCATTTACAGAGAGTCAGAGATGGACAGATGTCGTGTTTTAAAAAAAGAGAAAGAAGGAAGGAGAATAGATTATATACTGGATCTCTGTGAAAGAAAATGGAAGATTGAAAAAAGTGTAACCTTAAACAAGAAGCACAGATGTGCAACTCAGAGAAAAAGATTGTACAAAAAATTACATCACATCAAATACAGTACAGATCGCAGATTGATGTAGAAAAGAACAACTACATAAACAAATTGATCTGCATTTACAACAGCTTCTGTAACTGAACAGGAAAACACTGCAGCTACAAAGAAACAAAGACACTTCCTAACCCTGTATCCTGGAATTTCTCATATCTGTAACTGGAGCTAGGAACTGATCAATTAACTTGGGATAAACACAACTAGCCTTGATCTTCTGCTGTTTAAAACACACCTATTATCAGCACCTTTATAGTGTTGTAATTAACACACTATATTGCATTTATTTAATTGGAACTGCACTGGAAAATTGACAAGCTGTGATTTTATAGTGAGTTACGCTCTTAAACTGTTTCTTGGCAACCAGCATTTATGTCAACCATCATGTTCTTCAATACCAGCATGAGAGTGGATTAAAATTAAACCAAGGGTGTTGTAATGTGTGTGTGTGGCCTGGTGGCCTTGTATTACTCATGTTGGGGGGACATAAATCTACGTATACAGCCACACAGTGGGGACTCAATGTCCTTATGTGAAAAAAAAGCAAGTTCACAGAATGTAAATCATTAAGGTTAGGGTAAGTCTCCGGGAAGTTATGGAAACATACAGTAACACATGTATGTGTGTGTGTGTGTGTGTGTGTGCGTGTGTGTAGAGGCAGAAAGGGGGGTTATGGCAGTATAGCCTCTGTTTTAGGAAGATCTTTGATAGACTGTGGATAATCATACAGTAGTGATTCCACTGCACTATTGCATCAACTTAATAATCTTTCAGCTTCATGTTTCATTTATGTATATTAAGATTGGTGCTGATACATGGAGCTGCTAAGCTATAAGAAAAAAACATATTTAAATAATGTATACATAGTGTTGATTCTGCTCATGGTAAATTTATGAACATTTATCCCAGCTAACATTGGGTAAGAGGCGGGGCCCACCCTGGACAGGTCGCCAGTCTATTACAGGGCTGTCACATAGAGACAGACAACCACACACACACACACACACACACACACACACACACACTCACTCACTCACTCCTAGGTTCAGTTCAGTCACCAATCAACATAAGCTGCATGTTTTTGGACTGTGGGAGGAAGCTGAAGTACCCAGAGAGAACCCATGCAGGCACAGGGAGAACATGCAAACCGTGCCCAGAAAGACACCAGGTTGGCTGGGGCTTAAACCTGGAATCTTCTTCCTGTGAAGCGCTAGTGCTAACCACTGCACCGGTGTGCCTAAAACCAATGCAGTTCAATGTAAAGAGAGGTTTATGGTTGAATCTATAAATTCACCATTAGTAGCTGACCATGTAAAGAGTATGGGAAAGGTGAGAGAAAAAGATTATGATATGAAACAAAGGTCCTGGTATAAATCAAATTGATTCTCAGATTGATCTCATTCTCAGATCAATGCTTGGTTATTCTTATTCTGTACAGCTAAAGGTCAGGGACAGTGGTCATTCTATAATTTGAAAGATGAAAATGCAAAGTGTTTTTACAGTTTGTTTGATACATAGTACTTATCAAACTCCATCCATTATCTATACCACTTATCCTAGAGGGTCACAGGGGGCTGGAGCCAATGTCAGCTGACACAAGACGAGAGGAGGGCTACAGCAGTGCTAACCACTGCATCAGTGTACCTGTCTGTAATTAGAAAACTTAAAAATCTGCTTTTCATACTGTATAGCAACAGATGATTGGAGGCATAAAGCAGTAAACAAAGTACTTGTCAACAGGCAGATTGTCAATTGAGTCACAGTGTTTATCTCTCACAGAAAAAAAAATGCCCCTAGTAAAAAGTTGCTGCACAGTGAAGAGATTTTCCAGTAATGCAAACAAGTATGCAGCAAAAGACCTGAAACAAAGAACAGTGTGTTCTGACACCACTCAGACATCTCAGGAAACACTTGACATGTCCGATTAAAACAATGGGCCAATATTATTTGTTGTAGTCACAGTTGAAATTGCGGCAGTGTGGTGGCCAATTTTGGGTGTGAGCTAAATTAATTCACAGACAAATCACTAAAATGCCAATGATAATTTATTATTACAATAATTCTGAGCAGTTCAATAACTTGAAGGGCAATTCAACAGTCTGAAAGGTAGGGAACAGAATCATCGTCTCTACAGAGAAATAAATAAAAGTATTAGATAAGAGGATTGTCAAAGAGTCAGTCAGCCATTTTTGGTTCATACTGTTCAGTCAATCCATCACCCATTCAATCAGCCCTCTCCTGTCTTCCCTCTTCACCGGGTCCTGTTCTGTCTATCTTCTCTGTCCTCTCTCTAATTCACTAGTTTTTTATTGTGTCCTCCTGACAGTGTCCAACACCCCCTTCTGTCATCCCTTGCTTTTCACATCAACTCCCAAACCTAGTTAACAGGTCATCTCCAGATCAGGATGAGCCAGTGGGTTAATATGTAATAGAATACAGTAAGAGTGTGTAGATTACATATAGTTATTATATGCAATAGTCAGTTAATAATTAATCTCTGCAAGCCCTCTGTATTCTGTCAGCTCACTGTGTAAATTGTTTGTGTGTGCTCAAGCAAGAACATTTTGGGTTCATGGCCTGTTTGTTTAACTGTAGCTTGTTTGTTTTAACCACTACAGCAGCATGTACGTGGCAGTAGGCTGTGCCCAGAATGCATATCATCTACATGTACTGTCGTGGTTTTTAATCTGGTTTACAGCCTCGGCTGCTCATGATGCCACCTGTCCTGACCTTAACTGTCACATTCTGAGAGGCGGTGCAGGAACAGCAACAAATAAAGCAGGCTGAGCTGCTGTCAGGATGAATGGTGACATTGTGGGTCTCGAGCTGAGTTAATGGTAGACTGTTGTAGCCCTACAATGAAGCAGTCTGCCATATGATGTCAGGCAGGCAGTGAGTCACAGTGGACCCAGAACAACACAACACAGTCCATCTGCTGCTCCCTCTAGCATCATACACACATAAATAGGGAAAATAGCACAGAGTTGTCTTTTTCAAAACCCACAGTGATTCAAACCTTACCACAATTTTAATTTATTATTGCTCCCACACTCTGTCTCGCTTAGGCTAAATAATTGATTAAATCCACAATATTTTGGTCTATCTCACCTTCATCAGGTATCTTGACTTGTCGCACATTCAGGTATGCAGAGACTTGTCAGTTTATTTCAGTCTATTATTGCTGCAATATAATTTTAATCATTGCCAGCACAACAAATAAATCTTTTATTAGAGGCAAAATTAGACCAGTTTAAGCACGGAAAGACACATCAAGAAAAAAGTCAAAGAAAAGATGAAAAGTTAACTTAGGTTTCCAAAAACTGGATAATTATTTGTTTACTAACTTTCCTGCACATTTATCATTTACTAAGACCAGGTAGAATCCACAGCTTTGTTGGTAATCCCAGTACAATACTTGAATTAATCATAATTTGTTCTATACTTTGTTGATTTAAAAACATTTGTTTTCTTTCTCAGATGCCCCCCCTCCCTTTTTTATAATAGGAGCAATACTAGCATTAATCACCAGCTAACAGCTGTGCTAACTATCAATAAACTCAGTTTGCAGGTAATCAAAAATATAGCAACAGCATATATTTTGCTCACAGCTTACATTTTGGCAAAACAAAATACTGATTGGCAAATACTGCCCAATAGTGCTCTCGTGTCGACACTATCTTCACATTGACTTACAGTAGCATAAATACTGGAAAGCAAACAACAGCTTGCCTGGCTCTGCCCATAACCCCCAATTAAACCAGAACTTGTCATTCTTACATTTTAGAGATACTGTATATGTGATATATAAGTGGACTGTAGAGGTGTTGGTAGGCAGATTTTTTAAACTTCTGGATAGAAACAGGCTTGCTACCCATATTAACAGTTTTCATGCTAAGCTAAGCTAAGCTATCCTGCTCCTGGCTGCAGCTTTATATTTACCAGTCATACATGAAAATGGTATTGATCTTCTGATCTAACTCTATGCCAGAAAGCAATTAACCACATTAAAAAAAATGTAGTCCTTATATTTTAAATACACTCTAACAGAGTGTATTTAAGGGACAGTAATGTTCAAACTGGACCGAAAGGTTAAAATATATCAGTTATACAGTATTCTGGAAAATGCTGTCATGCATTTGCAAGGCTTATCTCCTAGAATGACATCTACACTCAGAGGACTGAACACAGTTTCTGTGTGGATAACTGGTAGAAGGTGTGATACTTGTGAGTTTGTGAATATGACAGCTTTCTGGAAGGGCTGTCTCCATCACTAAGCTTTTTGTCCTCTTTTTCTCAGACCCATATGAAGACCATTCAGGCTCTCTACGTCTCATCACTATTAAACCCATGACAGCCCAGCCAACCTACTCCTACCCCTCCTCCTCCTCCCACAGCCAAGACTCTGTGGTTCTCAATGGGGAGGTGAGCCTCCAGTGTTAGTTAGAACATCTTCAGCATCAGTTACACAGACACATATAGTACAAGACCCGGTATTCACAATGTGGCAGGTAGTTTTTACTCTTACTGTCTGGTTTGTGTCTATGTCTGGAACTGTTCATGGTTTATGTTGGTGATTCCCAACCAGGGATGTGTATATACACACACATATACACACACACACACACATATATGTATATATAAATGTATATATACAGTATTTATGTACTGTGGCCAATTCTTCAAGTTTCCTTATATTTTCACACTCTCTCCTCTCAGTTACACTCGAACACAATCATCTCTATAATTTGAATCTGCTCTTTCTCCACTTTTGGGACCTGCTTAAATCAGAACTGTTTAGACACTTCACCAACATTCTAGCTCTGGAGTGTGTGGAGCTGCTATCTCAGGATCGAGTGGTCTCATAAACAGAGGAAGGACCTTCCCCCGGAGGACGGTGAACACAATGTTTTCTTTTACCTGGGAACCACTTGGAAAGGTAATAAGACATGTCTGTTGCTCAGTGAGCACCAATAGTAATGGGAGTATTCTAGATAATATAGGAAATATAGGCTATTTAGGTAAGTGATGAAATGGAAGGAATAGATCACAGACAAAAGATGAAATCATAAAATACACAGAGTGGAAATGTGTGGTGAGACACTGGGCTGAGGACTTGAGACCAAAGCTCTGGAATGGATCCTTAACTGAACTTGACCTGAGTCACTAATATGAGAAAAAATGTGATCCATTTCCTTAGTAAAATCCTGAAGCAATAAAACAAAAATATAATAGCAGACTCCATATTTCACTATAAGGCCTATAATTCAGTGGCTGGATTAAAATCGCTACATGAAAATGCTTAATATACAGTATATTAAACCCTTTATACTCAGGCTTTGTGTAATGTTAGTACTAGTCTCACTACAGCCACAGGACCTGTACTTCTTAACCTTATTTACTGTATTCTTGTGATTACTTTATTTCAAATTATTACTAATTGTTATTGATGCATCTCCAACCATTTGATTTGATATGATTTGATTTATTCATTCAAGCATGTAAAACAGTTGATATGTCAACACATGTAATTTCACTTATATCCAACAAATGCTAATCCAATATCAATTTGCTTATACCTAGTACATGCTTGAACGGAGTAGGAAGAAGTTAGACTTATCTAGCCCTACCCCATGACATCATTTTACAACTTTTAAATCCTAAGCAATATCTCTAGATAAATAATTATCCTCTACACCACACAAGTAATATACTACAGAATTATTACAGAGTGTTAACATTCTACATAATTACATTCATAGATAATTATCTTCTACGCCACACAAGTAGTATATTAAAGAATTATTACAGAGTGCAACATTCTTACCCCACACCCACAATGTTCCATCTGATTGATCATTAAACCTGTTCTTGCATGTATCTTGATTGACACATACCTTTATACTTATGTTTAAACTCATCAATTCTAGTACTATTTTTTATGTCCACATTTAAATTATTCCATAGTTTTACACCACTTATGGAAATACAGAATCTTTTTTTGGTTGCACGTATAGCATGAATTTTATAATTTAAAATGTAAAATCAATGAAGAATACAAAATACGTAGTGCATTTCTGTCCAAAATATGTCTAACCCTTGCCAATATCGATATGTTTTTTGCTATTTTATGCTGAATATATCTGATATGAGATTTCCAGGTGAATTTATCAACTATGACACCTAGAAATTTAATTTCATATACTCGTTCAATATTAGCTCCCCCTATTTTCACTTGTGGGGCGGTCTTTTATTCCTTCCTTCAAGCTCGGGTCCTCTACCAGAGGCCTGGGAGCTTGAGGGTCCTGCGCAGTATCTTAGCTGTTCCTAGGACTTCACTCTTCTGGACAGAGATCTCAGATGTTGTTCCTGGGATCTGTTGGAGCCACTCTCCCAGTTTGGGGGTCACAGCCCAGGCTGGATATTGACCGCGCCCTGACCGGGGTTCGAACCCCCGACCTTCCGTAAAAAAGTCAACTATCACCCTTTTTGTATCAGAAAACAAGGTTGGGAACCACGTTGTTGCTTTTTTTTGTACTGTAATAGTTTCATAACATCCTCTGGGATACATTGCACTGATACAGAGTTGAATTATTGTTGCTTCAGTGTAATCACTATGCCTCCTCTTGTCTTCTAATACCTTATTGTGACTTTTCTCCCTCTAAACCTCTCTCTCTTTTCCTCCCATTCCTCCTAATTCCACCTTAAGCTCTTTGGACCTCTCTGCAGCAGAGACAGAAATACGCGGCTAATGATAAATATATTAACCAGAAATTCCACTCTGGGGCTCTGGGATTTTTCAGTGCATCTGCAATTGATTGGTGTACGTTAGCAGAAAATATCATGTTTAGGGCGTGAGGGGCTCGTGGGAATGTTTGCTGAAAAACAAAACTGAGATTTCAAAAATTAAACAGTTTATCATAAAAAATTTAAATCAACATCATTTGGCTGCCTTAAAGAATGAGATAAATACTTGAATTTATTATGTATAGGCAAACCATGGTGGGTTGAAGCAGAAGTCAGACATCGAGCACTACAGAAACAAATTGCGTCAGAAAGCCCGGAGGAAGGGCTACGGAGAGTTCTCACTGTCTGAGAGCGGCAGCCACGTTTACAGCCATCGTGACACCAGACACAGTCGGCACAACAACGGGGGCAAGGAACCAATGACCGCTGAGGAGAAGAGGGCCTCCTTTGCAGGATGTCATAAGAGGTATGGGAGTAGGCACGGTATGTTGGGGTTCCACAGGCAGCAGAAAAATTAGGAATCTTTACAGTTGGAGTATAATTCAATGCACACGATTAAAATATACAGTAAGAATGTATGTCCAATTAGGCCTCTTGGACCTTAATAACTGTACACTGCAGATGGTTATACAAATTAAAAGAACCAGCCACAAAAATATATTCAAATTCTGAATTCTGTCATACAAAATTTCCAAAATTAGAAGATTAGACTTTATTATTTTCTGTTTCACTGTGGAAGTGTATGCAATTATTAGTGTGATTTTAGCTGAGCACATTATTATTTTTGATTTCAAATAGATGTCTGTTTTGCTTCTCTTGGTCACTGATTTAACACATCCAGCCTTTTCCTAGTTCATCGCTTCTTTATACTTATTGTTCAGACAAAAAAACAAAACAAAAAAAAAAACCACTTACTTCTGAAAAACAAAAATCCATGGATGTCACAGTACAGTAGTGGTTTGGTTGACAAGTGACATCTGTGATTCAAAGCACACAGTCATCACAACATTAAACAGCACTAGGTTTTTATGTAAATCAAAGTTGTTATGCATTTCATCCTTGACTCAGACCTCAAATTTTTCCTTATTTTCCAAAATTAAATTCTGTTTTTGGTCAGTGCACATTTTAATCACTTCAGATTATTTTTTTCCAAATAAACTTTTTGAAGCAAGTATAAGAGGTATGCAGTCAGTAAACCACAATAGAGTGGAGGGCAGGGTGAAATAAAGGCTAAATGAAAGGAATCACATTCAGTGATACTTACACCGCTTATACAGGTTTTTTCTTTTTACCTATTTGATAGTCTATAAAGTATTTTATAACCTTCAGCTTTTTTTCTAACTTCTACAAACCAGCTAAAGATATTAAGTGTAAAAATACTTTAACTAGAATTACTGCTTTGTGGTTGTATGCCTCCACCAACCAGTCAAATTCACAGAAATGGGACATACATGAGGTCAGTGTGATCTTGATCTTTGACCTTTGACCACCAAAATCTAATCAGCTCATCCCTGAGTCCAAGTGGACGATTGTGCCAAATTTAAAGAAATTTTCTCAGATATTCACATGAATGGGCTGGACGTCTGATATATGGACAACCCAAAAACATAATATCTCAGGCCACGGCTATCACTGGAGTAGAGACATACGTAAAAATCCCACCATGTGCAGCTTTGAATTATTGCATGTAACTCCCCTCATTCTTTAAACCCCCAAACCCCCTTCCCTCCAAAGGACAGAGCATATGACCTCAGTGTCATAACCAGTACCTATGGCCATGAGCTGTAGTTACTGTTTTAACAGGATTGCTTTCTTACACCTGTACCAGATACTCCCACCCTCGGGAGCCCACCTACTGGAGCAGACAGTCTCTGAGCAGCCCGAGCCCAGTGGAGACAGAGATGGACCTACTGGTGATGAGAGAACGATCCAGGAGAGGCATCCGCAACAATGGCTACGATGTGAGTAACTGGACAAGTCATGGACCTTGTGATGACAGTCAAGTCAACTCTCTTTGTAAAATAATTTAAAGCATTGAGGCAGAAATAAAGTCAGTAGAGCACAGAGAAACATGCCAGGGGCAGTAAAAGGCCTGAGAAATGAGTTTTAAAATATCTTTATAACTCCTAAGTTACAACCAGGATCAAAGGTCTGTGAATAGATCGTCAGAGAAATAGCCAGTTGCAAGACCATGCAAAGCTCTGAAGAAGTTTGAAGAAGTTGGATTGTGTAACAAGCTGTAATATAGGAATTCAGGCCCAACCTCTGAGCAGGTGACTCATACAGGGGAATAATGAAACCATGGAAGAACCCTTATTCTTCCACATGGCTCACATACAGTTGTGGAAAAGTAAGGCTCTGCCACTTCGTCCACAGTAATACAGTAATCAAAGGACATTCATAGCTTTAATCCTTTCTTTTCCTCCTTTCACTAACTCTAATGCTGTGTGCTCACATCTGGAGTATTAACAGATTACCTTTCGCTTCATAAACATGCACCACACAGAGAGGTAAAGATAGGAAGTAATTAGGAGAAGGGGAAATGACATAATGATTAGAGAGAAAATGACTTTGTCTTTTCAACAACAGCCAAAGATGGAGAAAGGAAGAAAAATGGGGACAGATAGATTGAGTGTGAGTACAATCTCTTCATGCTGGTTCTCCAAGCTACCTAGCTGAAGGTCAGTGACTGAATATAGCCTAGTCGTGAATTCAGATGGGCAGTTACCTTTGGTTGTACCAAACCTTTTGAAAAGAACAGAATGTGTTTGTGAATGAGAATGTGTGCCTGTGCTTACATATGTGTACAACAGGTACAGTATGCTTTTGTTCAGCAAGATAATCATCACAAGTGACCAACACTTGTCCATTTCTCTATATTAAAGCTCACTTTTAAAAGCACAAATGTTTCAATGCCTATGTTTTCTTTTTCAGTTCCGATTTTGTTTTCAATGCCAGAGTTTAAAATCATTGTTCTGGCTCTATAGGTTAGGGTCTATAGTGACCTGCTTCACATTTGTGTGTGAAAACTTTTTTTTTTTTTTTTGTGGTATGTACGTAGGTATGCAGTGCATTATGGCTGGGTAATAATGTAATATTATTTTGTGGAATCCTGTTGTGTTTTTGTTATCTAATCAAACATTGTTGTCCAAATTAATTACTCAGCATGAATTGTAATTGCACATTGACAAAGAAAATGATTGAAGTTTATGTCACATGTCTGAAGAGTTTTGTCAGATGTAAGTCAATTAAATTAAAATTAATTGCAATTATATTCATTCAAAAATGTTCTGTTATTTTGCATAAATGTTCAATACAGTGTGATATATATCAATATTGGAAAATATTTTTATTAATGTTGTGATTTTAATTTCAGAATATTACCAAGACCACAACTTATTTGTGTAACTTATGTGTGTATTACATCTTACATGTGTTTTATAGATCAGTGACTCCCATCTACCGGTACTTGTATCCCAGGTAGGTCCTCACATATCGGGGTGTGTGGAAAGATTGTAGAAATTCAACTAGAAATAGAAAACAGAATTTTTGATTTAATATTTACATATTTGTACTTTGAAAGAAAGTATGGACAACTAGTTGTACAAATGTGAGAGGGGTAAGGCTGAGTGTTACTGTTTATTGTCACAATAACCCATAAACTACTGTCTGACAAGCTCTGACAAGCTGACTGCAAAGAGCACGTCCCCCAGCAACCTTTGTTGTAAAACATAAACACCAGATGTTGTGATGTACATTGTGTAGTTAACAAGACACAATATATACTGTATGTACTGTGCACTATGTAAAATATCAATTATGCATGGTGGACAAATTTGCCCAGTTTGACAGATATAGCTACGCTGCAGGAGAACCTGCCCCATGGAGGGCACAGGACCGATGCTTCTAGCTGACGATAAGTGAATAAAGATGTGAAAAAACTGGCTGTTTAATCTAGTTAGTTGTTTAATCTTCCCTTACTGAAAACTGACGGGGAAACTACAGACCTGTGCTTCAGTTTCTGTGACCTTCTGCTCCTGACCATCCTCCTTACACACACTTATGAGCTCTGCATGTGTTTTAGCTGCTCCATTAACTGATAAGATCACTGACACCAAAATCCTCTTAATATTCCTCAGAACATTTGTTTCTTAGAAAACCAGAATTTCATACTGTAGGTGGGTGAAGGTGGTGACATGATCTGCAAGGCACACATAGGATTTAGTGTTCATGTCCTCATCAGTCAATGAACAACCTGATGAATGCACCATTCTCCTATTTATTGACTGAGTGTTTGTGCTCCCTCCCCAGGGAGAACCAGAACCGTTTGAGGAGACCAATGTGGATCGTTTGATAAGCTCTCTGGGTTATGGGGGTGGATCTACTGGCACCGGGAACAGCAGCTTGGGGGTGAAAGCTCACCGTGGCTCCGACTCCTCCACACTTAGCTCTCAGCCCTCCATCGACGAAGTCCGCACACAGATGCATATGTTGCTAGGCAACGCCTTCAGCCTGGCACCTCCAGACCATGACCCACCTTCACCTCCTACCAAGTAAATTCATAATTTGAGATAATTTACTTCTTAGCACATCTGCATGATTTACAGTATTATGCAGGAAAGCAAAAAGAGAGGTGCCCTGACACACAGTGTGAACTCAGTCAAACTCAGTGGAAGTGCATACATCCCACGCCCAAGCTGTTTCTCAGAAACTTGGATAGATTTATCTGAACACGTCTGCTTCCTTTTTATTAACTTTCCTATGTCTCATCAGCAGGCACCACCATCATCACCACCATGGCAACAGCGCATACAACCACACCAGCCACTACAGTGACGGTGTGACCAGTGCCCCAGGGACAATGAACCACCCCTGTGGAGGCAGGCAGAGGAGCACAGGCTATGAGGACATGCACCAGTGTAGCCTGCCCAAACCGGTAAGCAGTAGGCTGTGGTTAAAGCTCCTGTCTACCCAAATTACAGAAAGAAATGTGCCATTAGTAGTATGTAGTTTTAGTTTTGCTTTATATGTATTTGTAAAAATACACCATTTCTCTTCCAGTAAAACATACAAGTGTATGAACAGAAAAATATATTTACATGTATGTTAACAGATTTCTGGTCACTCAGGAGTAGTCATCAAATTGTAAGCATGTTGCTGACATTTTATAACTTTATAAAGTAAACTGCAACCCATTGCAAGCGAATAAATCTCACAACATCACCTCCTAAGCGTTATGGGTGCATCGACACAGGGCGACACAGTGACATGTGACAATGGTCTTATATTTAACAGAAAATGCCTGTTAGCATGTCTTTGCTACCTTTGTGTAGTTAACTCTTTTTATCTTACAGTTTCTACAAGTTTAAGCCAGATTGCATTTATCTTCTCTTTGTCAGTTTAATATAGAAGGCAGGGGTCATATAGAAGAGGAATTCCAGAGACTGCAACTATTCTCTTATCTCTGGACATTCTACTATTCACTTGTGTCCAAGCAAGCCACTTCGTCAGTACTTGTACAATGGAATTATTTGTTGTTTCTGCAGGGTTTCCGGTTCACCCAGCTTCCTGATATGGGCATCGGTTCTCCCCCGCCACTGATCCCCTCAAGACCTGGACCACCACCCGGAACCTCGCTACGACTGTAACACACACACTCATGGAAATGAAGACAAAAACATGCACTTGAATAACAGAAGAATATATTAAGACTATTACATTTAAAAAATCTAAATTAAAATCAAAATTAAGAAAATTAAACACAGAACAGTCTGCAGACTAAATAAAAGTTTCAACCTTCAGTAGCAAAACATACACTGTGTTGAGCACGTCATCCTTCTTCATTGGCAACTAAAAACATTCCTCACTCCTCAGCCAACCAAAAGACAATGCTGTGGCCAATCATAGTATCAAATGAATATAAAATTATTAGTGGAGAGCACAGAGGAGAATGCAGAGTGAAAAAATGCTACAGAACATTAATGGACATTATTTGAACTCAGAGCCCTACGCATCCACTCTCTATCTGTGGCTCTTGCTTCTCTCTCTCTCAGGCCCACATGTTAGTCTGCATCCTTTTAACTGAACAGTGTCTTCATTTAGATGCTGTTGCTGTGTGCACCCTGTTGCTGGGCACTTTAGTACTGTAGAGTGTGACTGTTCAGCTGGTTTGGGATGCAGAAAGGGTAATGTTCGCCACCTAGTGGATGAACTGAGAAAACAACACCGACAAACGTTCCAGCTGTCGTGTGCTGCAGACTCACAGGGACAAACTCAAAGCTCTCCAGGAAAATGCAAAAAATATAAATTAGATCTTTATGATATCACTTAGATAAATTAGAGGATTTTGAATGTTTGTATTCAGTGTAACAGAGACAGCTTTGTTATAACCTCTAATTAGAGCTCATTTTAAATTTGAATCAGAACTCACATTCTTGCAGTAAAACTAGAACCAGAAATGTTTCTCTCTCATCATACATCAGCTTCTCTGTGTCTCTAGCATGTTAATTCCTCTTACATCATGAGACATTAGTGCGCATCATGGTCCTGAGCGCAAGCAATAACATAATCTGTCTGTCGCACCTTTACTGTGGTGTAACATGGTGCCAGGGCTTCAAACGTGCAGAGGAGGATGCTGCAATGTAAAAGAGACAGAAACAGATAAAGGACAAAACCTGACACATCAAAAATGGACAATTATGGTCAGACAGCACAATAATAAAGCTCTGGAAAGCAGACAGTCTGTAGCTAGGATTTTTTTTTGAAATGGTGAGGTCATCATGAGTTCACACAACAAATGCTTGAAATGTTCACCAGCCACCTAGAGGAAAGGCTCAATAGCATTTTAATTCTTTGGACTTGGTGTACGTTTCTTTTTTTTCTACATGAAAATCTAAATACAGTTTCAAGGCCTTATCCATGCTTTCATGATAAGTGCTAAATGATGTGTTGACATTCACATACTACCTTGACTAGAGTTTTGCATTAGGTGCATTGATTATATACAGTATTTCCTTTAAAATTACATTTCATCATTACAGATTACATTAAAAATGTCAATAAAAAGTTTAATTTACAACTTTCTTTTTCTGCAGAAAAGCATGTCTTATAGTACTGTAATATTTTATATATTTTATTAGAAAAGCTAAAATATGTTCAATATAATTCTACCATACTTGGTGTGTCTACTTAGTATACAATTCAAAAGGACCAAACATGAAGAATAGGAGCTTGTTAATCAGACTCGGGGTAGTAACTAGATCTGGTCAGCAGTCTGCTGATGGTGCTTGTTTGGAATGTAAATAAAATAAATTAATACAATTATTAATTATAAATAAATGAATAAAAATAAATTCACACACACTACTCTTAATGTTGACGGTCAAATACTGACAGTTCATCTGCTGTTACTGCTTACATACCAACTGACACGTATTGACATTGTATATGGTTAACTGCTTTTGTTTCATACTCTCTAAGATAATTTTCAGCTAATTTTAGTGTTTACCTATGAATAATAATTGTCCAGAAGACGTTTAAAAAACAGACTTCTGCAGACCCCCCCCCCCCAACAGACCTCCTCTCTTCTACCGATGTGCAGATGCATGCAACAGTTGCTGCAAAAGCATGCTAACTGGTTGAATAGTTTTCTGATAACAGTATATCAGATTAACATCTGTCCCTCATCTCCATTAACAGTTCCACTCCAGATGTTAATCTGAAGCCTCGTGTCTCTGAGACCTCAGACCTGCAGGCCCAGCAGCACAATGGCGCCCCCTACCTGCCACTTTCCAGGACCCCCTTCCCTGCTGTCACTGTCGATCAGTCCATCACCACCTACTCAGGTAAAGCAGAATGTTAACGCATTGAAATGGACACATGGAGATGATAAGTGAAGCCCATTCTTTGGATAAATCCATCTTTACATTTCACAGGAAACCCAATAACAGCAGTCTACGCTATATCAGCTAACCGCCCGGGTTACTCGGACTACTTTGTCATGTCACCCCCATCCTCGTACCGTAGCCCATCATGGATGTCCTACCCACCTGAGCCAGAAGACCTGCCGAGGCAATGGAATGACACACCGGTGAGACACATATTGTATATACTGAGCTCCTCTGTAGAATAATACATGTTGAGCTGTGAATGCTTTCTGTCAGAGCATTTGTCTAGTGTGTAGAGCAGTTATTCTTTTCTCTTTGCAGAACCCACGTCACCTTGAAACCATCTGCTGAAGTCATCTGCCTACTACAGAGTGGAAACTGCCGATTGGTGGGTTGGCTAATCTCAGCACTGTCATTATATGATATTTGTTTAGTGATGAAGGAATTTTGTGCAACCTGTCTTCATTTTACAAGGTGAACCCTCCTGCTAGTCTGACAACTTCAGACTATTTGGGTGATTAAAAATATGGGGTTCAAATGAAATCCATAACTGTCTTATTATACTGAATGCAATGATGAATGTTCTCTGTTCTCTCTAACTGAGACCAATCACTGTATTTTGGTCTCAGACAGGGTCACTGGCAAGAAATTAACTCCACAGACAGAACATGACAAATGGCAACTGAGACCTTCATCTTCTTCTTCACACTGTTCAGAAAGTTACCGTGGATTCGGTTCTGCAGCTGTACTACTGTATAATCAAATTGAACAGACCTCTGGAAACAGCACATCAACCAAATGTCCTCTTGTTGTAGTTATAATATGAATTTCATTGTGTAAAACGGAACTTCAGAATTTAAACTACAAGTTTTGAAAAAAACACATTTTACCACCACAATTAGCAAAGTCAGTTAGTCAATAAGCAAATGTAGTAGCTTAGCTCATTGCTAATAGGACAGCATATTCACACAGTTTATGCAAAATTTATATTTGTGCCACTGACTCCTATCTTAAAAAAATAACTGTAATTCAGACCAGTGCTCTGTTGTGGAACAGTGTTCACCCCAACAGAGGAGGTTAAATAATGTAGATGGCACAACACAGATAATTACTATGATAGATGTATGTTTGGACTCTCCAGCTCTCAGTCCTCTTAAAGGTCATTGCAGTCAAACTGCTCGCTATTGGGCAACAGCTCAAAATTTAACTCAAAGTTCACCACAAGCCTTTAAAGTGAATGGTCTGTCTTATGTGGTCACCCGGTTTTCCGGCAGGTGTGTCTTTGAATGGGCAGAGGACCTCCTTCTTGCTTAAAACCCTCTAGAGCTCTTCCACCCCCCGTTCACTTGTGCCCGGCCTTACGCCTGTCTGATCCATTCATCACCAGTGGACCGTCTCTTTCGCCGCTGTATCTCCAGCTGCCTTGTTCCACTAGTCTGGCCTCCATCTGTCCTCCCTGAACCCACTTCATCTGCAGTTCAAAGCCATCCTCATCCTCCAGAGCTCCTCTGCCTCATAAGTCTCTTCACCTTGTCAAAGCTTCTCTGCAGTCTCCTTACCAATGCAAATGCTCAGCCATAATTCTCTCTCTGTATATTCTGCTCCCTGAGCCCTCACTGGCCCTTACTGGCCCCGCTGGGTCCCTAGTTGCTATCTCTGTGTAGACTGCCTCTTCTGTGGTGACCAGCACTAAACGACTAGAGGCCGCTCACACTGCTGAGCTGAGCTGAGCTGTGCAAAGCTGTACTGTGCTACCCTGCCTAACAACACATTCAGCGTGGATGAACAGGGCCAGTATAGTGTGACAGGTTCTCTGTCCCAGCAGTCATACAGCACACAATGGCACGCAGCGCTGTGATATCAGCACATTAGTGCCCCAGCCTTGGCCATTAGTCTGCTCCTCCTCTGAACTGGACTGGACCATCCTGGACTTTCCCCTAAGGTCCATCATAAAGCCAGGAAGGCTGGACTGACTTAAAACTGTGCTTTTTTTCCTGATGAATCCAAATTCCTATGTAAACCTTCTACAACTGGTTAATGTGTATTTTAAACTTAAGTGAGAAAAAAAAGGAAAAAGACAAAAAAAAATCCCTTGTCTTGAGCTGTCTCAATTTCAGTTTTTGGATATTTGTGTGCTTTTGTCTTTTACTTTTGTGCATTGATTAATATCAATGGATTACTGTACAAAAAAAATATGTAGTGAGTGTTTCTCTTTCACTCACCTTATTTTAAGGCAAAAAATCGTTCTTTGAAGCAGAGAAAAAGGCGGCTTAGATGTCTATGGTTATGATGGCATTTCTGTATTTTTAAAAAGAATTACTTCATTTACCTTTTTCCTTCATCAGATTCAGCAATGAAAAGAATTAGTCACAATGTTTTGTCTGCTGACCATTAGGCAGGCCTGGATCAAAAGTATACATTGAAACCATACGTTGTATGATTTGTAGCGTTGCCATCATTGCAGAGCTTGTTTGACTTTTCAGAAAAAGTAAATATGAGCAACGTAGATAGAAAAAAAAAATTCAATGAGTTGGATTAGATGTGATTTCAATTCTGGTTTGACTCAGGTCTGTTGCCATTATGTGAACACACCAGTATTCTTAGAAAACCAGTTTATTTGTTTGAAAGGTGTCTACTGTATTCTACTGTTTAAGGAACTTGACCTTTGATTATTTTGGTCTTGATGAAGAGGAATCTGTAATTGGTCACTGGACTATGTTGTAGTACTGTTCAAGAGACTCGCAGACTCAGATGAGCCATTTATGTAATGATTAAACATATTATTGTATATAGCAGATGATTTAATGAAGAGATTTATGCAAGTAATGTGGGAAGCAAACTTTGCTTGACATTATTCCAATGCCCTTTTCCTTTGTTTAGTACTGCATTTATGAAGGACTGTTTTTGAAACTCTGTGACTTTCTGAAGGATACACCCATTTCATTATCATCTGGACTATTTAGTTTTATCATATTCCTAACACTGAACATGAACTATTCAAAATAACGCATTGTGTTATAAAAGCAACAGAGTGTTTAGTGACATGCAGCAAGAAGGCATTTGTTGAGTGCATGTTGATTAATAACATCTATGTCTACCCCTGCATTTACAGTATTCTCTATATTTGAACAAAGCTAATATAGCCATAAAAGAAAGAATGTCAAAGTCAAAATTATATTTACCCTCACTTTTTATGAGGAGAACTGGAAATCTGTGAGCGCATCTGTATATTAGGCTCCTCATCATTTAGATGATGTTGAAGGACATTACAGCCATATATTATTTTCCCCAAGAGGGCATAAAGTATCTAAAAAATACAGTGTTATGTCAAAAGTGGCAAGTGATACCAAATAAAACCATATACCGTAAGAAATCATCAGGCAGGGAGTACAGAGATAGTTTATAGAGAGATGTAAAGATAATAAGTGTAGTTTTACATGAAATGAGAACTTTTATAAAAAGCCCGAACTACTGCAGAATCAATGCAAAAATATTCTTGCATAGCATGAAACATTCAGATTCTATAAATGTACAAAACATTTTATAAATCCTTACGGCAAGATATAAAACTGTAAAAGCATAACCAGAATAAAAACATCTCTTTTCAGCTACATTATGATACACCTCTTTTGGACACCTAGACAGGGCTATAACTACATTAAAGGACACCAAGGACACATGCACGGCATTGTTTAAGAGAATTTGTGGGCTTTAATGACCTGAGGTATGCGCATTACACAATACAAATTACAGATAGTGAAGATGTAATCCACATGTTTTTTAGAGTTCAATTCTTAAGATAAATTGTTAAAATGCAAATAAATAAATAAACAAATATGGGGCAGCACGGTGGCGCAGTGGTTAGCACCATTGCTTCACAGCGAGAAGTTTCTGGGTTTGGGCCCCACCTGGGACCTTTCTGTGTGGAGTTTGCATGTTCTCCCCGTGCTTGCATGGGTTCTCTTTGGGTGCTCCAGCTTCCTCCCACAGTCTAAAGACATGCAGCTTAGGTTGATTGGTGTCTCTAAATTGCCCGTAGGAGTGTGTGTGTGGTTGTTCGTCTATGTGTTAGCCCTACGATGGATTGGCGACCTGTCCAGGGTGTACTTCGCCTGATTGCTGGCCGGGATTGGCTCCTGCGACCCCGTTCAGGGACTAAGCAGTAGAAAATGAATGAAATTACACATAGTGAAGATTTAATCCAGATGTTTTTTAGAGTTCAGGTCTTAAGACAAATTGTTAAAATGCAAATAAATAAATAAAATACAGGAAATGTGAAAAAGAACATGTCAGAGTGTTTTGGTGGCTGTCACAGATTTCTGATGGGGGTGAGGTGTTCCTGGAGGACTTTGTGCTCTTTACCCCAGTATTTTAAAATCCCAGCTATCGCTCTGCCTGTACATTTATCAACCCAAATATATCTAAATATATTTAAAATGCACATGGAACATTTAATGTTAATAATATGTCAACTGAAGCCTGTATCTAGAAGGCAGAACTGATAACAAGTTGTCTTCTTCCAGTTGAGGCATTTGTGTTATGGTTCCTCCCTTTTCTAAATCTAGGCCTGCATTTGATAAATATTAGATGTGGATATTTACGGAAAAGAGGGCTAAGGTATGTGATTACAGTACATGAGTGCACAAGGTGCTATTGGTGTTCATCATGATCATAACTTGCAACAGCCATCATAATTTAAGTCACACTCTGTGTATAAACCCCCCACTCATGTTTATTATTTTTAATTTGAGCCCATGTTAAGCTGAGCGCAAGTGGGTTTTGGTTTTTAGGCAGTAAATAAAGGAGACTTGATGCTGTAAGTTGATGTGCAATGTTTGTGCTTTTCATGAGTAGCGGTGAGATGCTTTTATTGATGACAGGCTCTGGGATGGACTGACTGCCAGTAGTCAGTAGTATGGTTTTCTGCCATTTCAGCTATGTCATGATGCTGTCATGGCGGTGCTGTTGATGTCAAAGTATGTCACTAGGGTGTTGAGGTCACAGTGACTACAACTATGAACGCTGTTGGATGTAGTTATGCAGAAAAACTTGGTGAATTTAAACAATAAAGACAAATTATAAATCTTGGCTCTTGATTTTTTCTTTTGGCTTGTGAATCATTTTGCATCTTTTACAATAAATTTGTGCAAACCAGCATTGATATATGATCTGTATTATTAACTAATAAGCTGCATGTGTCAATGTACAGAATATATCCACTAGAGGGAGACAGACACATGCAGTACAGGCCCCATCTTAAACTCTCCTTCAGACTCCAGAGTGCTAGACAGTGTTCGCCACCCTCCAGAAATTGGTATAGCAACTGATCAACCTGCTCCTTATTTAGTTTTTAACTGGATTCTCAGACTTTCTGTCTGATTTAGTGCTTAGTACAGATAAAATAATCATAGTAGGCGACTTTAATATTCATGTAGATGCCGACAATGACAGCCTCAACAATGCATTCTGTTCATTATTAGACTCAGTTGGCTTCTCTCAAACTAAATAAACCCACTCACTGTTTTAATCACACTCTTGATCTGGTTCTGACATATGGCATCAAAACTGAACACTTAATAGTTTTTCCCCATAACCCTCTTCTGTCTGACCATTTTCTAATAACTTTTGAATTTCCATTAATGGATTATACTCTATGTGGGAAACAATTCCACTACAGCAGATGTCCATCTGGCAATGCTGTTACCAAGTTTAAGGAAATAATTCCATCTTTATCTACTTCAGTGCCGTTTGCCAACACAGTGGAAGGAGGCCACCTTAACTTTACTCCCACACAAATCGATAATCTTGTTGATAGTACTGCAGCCTTCCTGCGTAATACACTTGATACTGTTGCTCCTCCGAAAAGGAAGGCAGTGAAACAGGGGAGGCTAGCCTTATGGTACAGCATCACAAAAACTGGAAGGGAGGTGGCATGCAGTCAGAAGAGTTTCTCATAGCCTGGAAAGATAGTTTAATAACATATAAGAAAGCCCTTCATAGTGCCAGAACCTCATTTTATTCTTCACTGATTGAGGAAAATAAGAACAACCCCAGGTTTCTTTTCAGCACTGTAGCCAGGCTGACAAAGAGCCACAGTGCTGTTGAGCTTAACATTCCCTTAGATCTCAGCAGCAATGACTTCATGAGCTTCTTTACAAATAAAATCACAACTATTAGAGAAAAAATTGGTCGGACCACTCCCACAGCTCTCGCAGATGTGCCATCTACTACAATGGCTTTAGAAACATCTGTAAGACCTCATTTATACTGGGATTACTTCTCCCCTATAGATCTCGCTGAGTTGACCTCAACAATTGCTTCATCTAAATCATCAACATGTCTCCTGGACCCCATCCCGACCAGGCTGCTCAAAGACGTCTTTCCCCTAATCAACACATCCATACTACATCTGATTAACCTTTGTCTATTAACAGGTTATGTTCCATGGGCTTTTAAGGTTGCAGTAATTAAACCTCTACTCAAAAAGCCTACTCTTGACCCAGGTGTCCTAGCTAATTATAGACCAATATCCAATCTCTCGTTTATTTCTAAAATTCTGGAAAAAGCTGTTGCTAAGCAGTTATGTGACCACTTGCACAAGAATGATTTGTTTGAGGATTTTCAGTCAGGATTTAGAGTCCATCATAGTACAGAAACTGCATTGGTGAAAGTCACCAATGATCTTCTCCTAGCCTCAGATAAAGGACTGATACTTGTCCTCCTAAACCTCAGTGCTGCTTTGACACCATTGATCACAGCATATAACATGTTATGTTGAACATGTTATTGGGATTAAAGGAACTTCACTAAGTTAGTTCAAATCTTATTTATAAGAAAGATTTCATTTTGTTCATGTTAATGATGAATCTTCCAAACAAACTGAAGTTAGTCATGGAGGTCCACAGGGCTCTGTGTTAGGTCCAATTCTCTTCACTTTATACATGCTCCCTTTAGGCCAGGGGTGCCCACACTTTTTCTCCTCAAGTCAAAATGATCTACCTACAGTTAAAATACTAAACATATATTTATTTATATACCTTATGTAAACACAATATACAGGTGCAGCTCAATAAATTAGAATATCGTGGAAAAGTCCATTTATTTCAGTAATTCAACTCAGATAGTGAAACTCGTGTATTATATAAATTCAGTACACACAGACTGAAGTAGTTTAAGCTGTTGGGTATTTTAATTGTGATGATTTTGCTCACATTTAACAAAAACCCACCAATTCACTATCTCAATAAATTATTGACATGCCACTCAGCTAGTCAACTCAAAACACCCGCAAAGATGTCCTGAGCCTTCAAAATGGTCACTCAGTTTGGCTCACTAGGCTACACAATCATGGGGAAGACTGCTGATCTGACAGTTGTCCAGAAGACAATCATTGACACCCTTCACAAGGAGGGTAAGCCACAAACATTCATTGCCAAAGAAGCTGGCTGTTCACAGAGTGCTGTAT